CTCTGCAGGAAGCCTGCTTCTCCCTCTCCCACTCCCCCTGCTTGTGTTCCCTCTCTCGCTGTGTCTCTCTCTGTCAAATAAATAAATAAAATCTTAAAAAAAAAAAAAAAGAATTGTGTCACTGTATTCTGGAAACTTAACATGTTCCCCCGGCCCCCAGTGGTTTTGAACATTCTCTGGGGAAAGCCTCTTATAACTTGTTTAATATGTAATGTTTAAGAGATTCTGATTCATACAAGGCAAAATGATACCTAAAACAAATGTGAGTCTGGAGCCTGGGTTCCTTTGCAGAACCAGAGTATGGGAGAGTTATGAATAATCATCTTTGTAGAAGCCCAGAAAAGGGGTGGTGGAAGGGATGGATATAGTGACTTTTAAATAAGGTAGGTTAATACCAGGATATAACTGGACAATAGCACCCAGAACCACTTATTTTTTTAAAAAGATTTTATTTATTTATTTGAGAGAGTGAGAGGGAGAGGGAGAAGCCAACTCCCCACTGAGCAGAGAGCGGATGTGGGACTTGATCCCAGGACCCTGAGATCATGACCCAAGCCCAAGGCAGACGCTTAACTGACTGAGCCACCCAGGTGCCCCCAAACCACTTATTCTTTAAGGAGAAGCAAGAGATTTTTCTCGCTGTTCTTGTAAAGTCTACATAGTTGTTGGTAACCTAGGGATTTGCCCATCTGTAATGAGGGAATCCAACAGGTTTAAAGACTGTCAGTAATTCAAAGTTCACTAGTGCAGAATGCCCTTGTGGTAGCTAGCTTCCAACAATCCTCACTGCCGTGTGTGTGTGTGTGTGTGTGTGTGTGTGTGTGTGTGTGTGTGAGAGAGAGAGAGAGAGAGAGAGAGAGAGAGAGAGAGACTCCTGAGGCTAGGTCAGAAAAGGTAGCACAGCATTCCCTTCTCTTGGACTACTCACTTCGAAATGTTGTAAAGGAATATAGCTTTGTTTAATCAACTCTAACTCAAAGTATCCAAGGATTATCCCAAGAAAGAGAATTTCCAGTTTGGGAGGGGCAAATGATTTACTGGCTAGCACTAGGAGAATTTAGTCTTCTGTGTTCCTCATGTTGATTATCACTCCCATCCCTAAACTGGCCCTAAAACCTCCTTTTCCCTTTTAATATTCTGATATAAAAGTGGAAAACCTCTTCTCTTGGTTAACCCATCATACTGAAGACAGGCTGAAATTTTAAAAAGACTTTCTTAGGTAGTAAGAGAGAACAAAGGGTAAATGGAGAAAAGAAGTACAGAAGCATTCTATCTAATACACATATTATACCATTTCATTTATAGTTAGTCTACATAATTACATGTGTATGTATATAAATGCACAGAAAAGCGTCAGGAAGTTGAAATGCTAACTTATCATTCATGGTTGCCTGTGGAAGGGTAGAGGTGTGGAAAGACTGGTATGTACGCAGGATTGAGGAGTGGAAAGGGAAGTAGAGAAGGAAAGGAGGAGACTTGACTTTTTTTAAAAAAGTCTGTTTTGTATTATTTGAAAGTTGATGATGAGAATGCATTAGTGAAGCACTTGTCTAATTACAAAACAAATTGTATAATATCAAAAAAACAGAAGAGCAGGGACGCCTGGGTGGCTCAGTCGGTTAAGCGTCTGCCTTCGGCTCAGGTCATGATCCCAGGGTCCTGGGATCAAGTCCCGCATCGGGCTCCCTGCTCCACGGGGAGCCTGCTTCTCCCTCTGCCTCTGTCTCTCTCTCTGTCTCTCATGAATAAATAAATAAAATCTTTAAAAAAAAAAACAACAGAAGAGCAAATTTAAAAAAAATTTTTTAGAGAGAGGGAGAGTATGAGGAGGAGGAGCAGAGGGATAGGGAGACTCTGCACAGAGCATGGAGCCCAGTGAGGGGCTCAATCCCATCACCCTGAGATCATGACCTGAACAGAAATCAAGAGTCGGTCACTTAACCGACTGAGCCACCCAGGCGCCCCAGAAGCAAGAGAAGTTTAGTTATAACCTGGAGATCTCATAGTCCCTATTCATTAGCTAGGACCACTGACCACATCATCCCTTTCCTACTGAGTCTGAGGTTTTAGAATGCCTTGCTACAAACTTGGCTTCCACAAAGAATGTGCCTTTCCAAGACCCACTATGGAAGAGCTGCCCCAGAGACATCAGTTTGGCACCTTTAAGGCTAATGACAAGAGAGCAGATTGTTCCATCTCCTATTCTACCAGTCAGCGATTGGAACACTAGTTCTGGGTAGCACACTCCTAAACACAGTGCTTAAAACAATTCCTTTTTCCTGCAGGTCACTGGCTCCAAGCTGGGGATGGTTCTAGACCCGCTTCATGTCTCTCATTCTTGTTTTACTGGCAGACTACCCAGGCATGTTCTTCACACTGTGAAAGACAGGTGTGGGGGAGAGGCAAGCAGAAACATGCAAAATCTAAGGACAGGCTCAGAACTGTTACACTGTCACTTCTGCCCATATTCCTTTGGCCAAAACCAAGTGGAATAATCTAAGTCCAACATCAGTAGGGTGGAAAAACTTTCTGCCTCTAATTAGAACTGCAAAGCCACATTTCAAAGAACATGCATGGAAGAAGCACCGAAGAATTGGGAACAACAATGTTATTTACCCTTGTTATTCACCTGGGACTTGCCAGTTTACTTGCAGCTGGCAGTAGGAGAGAGACGTTTCTTCTCATGGTAGCTGAAAACAGTAATGATTTGACCCAGCAGGTGAGATCTGTTCCTAACTACAGAAATCAGGCTTTGTCCTTGCATCCTCCTTAATATGACATGTTATTGTCACGGAGAGGCAATAGTATTATTAATTCTTTACATATATCGAGTGGACAATGGTTCCCTATTTTACAGCAAATATGAGATCAGAAATACTGCCCTAGAAAGGTTGCTATGCTTGTAGTTTATTGTATATTAAAGGTTTGAATTCTTTAGTTCAAAAGAACGTCGAGTCGCCATGTTTTAGAACTAAGGGATCCATAAAACTTCATTAGAGTTAAGAGGATCTGTTTGATTAACCTATTTGCTATCCAGGTTTCCCCTACGCAAAAATCTCTTAAGGACTCACCAGAGTTGCTTTTCCAGATAGGAGAGGAAGAATCCCACTTCCACCCCCGTGCCCCCCGCCCCCCCCCGGCCAGTAAATAAAAAAGACATTAATAGCTTTAAAAAAGAAAGAGATCATTAAATTCTTAGGTTCTTCGGGAACAAATCAGTGGGGCTGACAGTCCTCTGACATTTGAGCCCTACTCTAAGGTTATTTCCATGGTTCCCACGTTACTTTAAAGAAAGCTACCACATACATTCTTTACGGTTTTTTCTTCTCTGACTGGTTATGGAGCCGCAAAAAGACTAAGGCTGCAGCCCAGCGATGAACCTGGTGGATACTGCGCCAGGTCTACCGGAGTGGGGCTGCAGGAGCCCGAGAGGGGACTAGAATTAGTCCCTCCGCGCACCGGGACAGTCATCGCTCTTTGTTAACAAATACAAGAAAACGCGGCGGCGGCGAAGTGTGGTGGGAGGGCGGGGGACTAGATCGAGGCATAACTTTGCGTTTATATGCATAACTGTGCGTAAGAAAGATCATTAGCAAGGCGTTCCAAACGCTGGACAGCCCAGGGCCCCGTGTCATTGGCTTTTGTGCATTTGAAGGCGCGTGAGTGCCCGGCTCAAAGGTTCCCCTTTGTGTGAAAGTGGGGAAACCAGAAGCGTGCAGCTACGGCTGGGTTTTCATTTTCGAATTCGTCAGGCACTTGGACCAAAATACTCCCGCACCAATACACTCCCGCATTCTCGCAACAACAATACTCGGACTTGAGTTACTTATCCGTCGCTGACCGAGCGAGGAGCGACAATGGCTTGGTGCGGGCGCCCGCAGTTCGGGGGGCAGCGCCAAGCGGCCGCCCGCCGCGCTCCGCAGCTGCGCGCTGAGCCCCGCCACCCGACCGTCAGCAAACGCGGGCACCAACCGCCGCGCGGCCCGGCCGTTGGGCGGGTGGTAATTTCTGGGAATGGGGCGGGGTCGCGGGTGTGCAAGGCCCGGCGCCTGCGAGCGAGGAGGAGGAGCGGGCGGCGCAGAGGGCGCGAGGCTGGAGGGGCGGTGCGCCACGAGCGTCACGGGCCGGGGAGGGGCCGGGGCGGGGTGGGGTGGGCGGCGCGCTCTGGCCTGCCCGCGCCCCCACCTTTCGCTTCGCGGAGGCTGTGGAGTGGAGAACTGGAGGGTTCTGGGCTAGGAGTTTATCCAGCCCTCGGCCCCCAGTAACTGTCAGACTGCCCGAGTGCGGAGCTGTCCCTGAGAAGGGCGGGAGTCTGCAGCTGGGGCTGGAATGACAGCGGGGCCCGCGGGAGGCTTCAGAGAGTGGCGAGGGTGTGTGCGTGCGGTCCCGGCCAGCTGGGAGAAGGGGGCGGGCGGGCGGGCGCTGCAGGTGCACGCGCGGTCCCGCTACCCCCACGCGCCCGCCCGCGCCTTGGAGCCCCTGCACCAGTCTGGGGTTGGAGCCGAGTGGGATGGGGGAGCCCCGAGCAGGGAGCGGGACACGGGGCCAGAGTCTTTACCTGAGATGGAGGGTTTGGGAGAAGTTGGGGGCTCAGGGGCGGGCGAGAGTCGAGAGAGCCACTGAGGCAGGTTGGCGGGCTGGTGGGGGCCGCGGGCGGTGGGGCCCCGCGGGGTATAAATAGCCGGCCCTGGTTTGACAGACGCTGCGGTGACTGGCGGTGCCGCCCCCCCTCGCCGCGTGGGGAGGGGAGGAGCGCTCCGAGCGGGCGGGGTGGGGGAGGCGGACTCGAGTGTCCTGGTGGCGGCGGCAGGAGGCCGAGGGGGAGGAGCCGAGGCGGGGGGTGGAGGGAGGGGGCCGGGAGCGGGGCGAGGGCGGGGGCCACCATTGCTCCCCGCGCCGGGCTCTGTGTCGCTGCCGTCGCCTCGGCGGTTGGGAATCGGTGGGGCGGCGCGGGCGGGGGGCGCTGCGCGGGGCGGCTCGCCGCTGTTTTGTTTCCTCCTCTCCCAGTGGAGCGGCTCGGGCTGCCGGGGAGGCCCTGGCTCCCTCGGGACGCCCGGCCAACGGCGGCGGCGGTGCTAGTCCGCGGCCCTGCCGGGAGGGAAAGCTACGCCGTGGTCTTCCCAGGCGACGCGGAGAGCAGGTAAGAGCGCGGGCAGCCGAGGCTGGTGGGAGGGAGCGCGGAGGGCGCGGCGATAAAGCCTCGCTGTCCCGAGTGCCGCCTCCTCCCTCCGCACCCCCGCCCCGCGCCTGTGTTGTTTGCTCCGGGGTTTGCTGAGGGTTTTCCGGAGGCTGTGGCGGTGACAACGGCTGGGAGCTGGGGAAGGGGGCTGAGTGCCCCCGGGCAACGGTCGGGAAGCGGGACTTGGAGAAAGGGGAAGGCGCGCTGTTCGCCTGCCCGCGGGGAGCGCGAGGCGCGGGGCAGGGCTGAGGAAAGAGGTTACGGACCCCGGCGGGGGGGGGGGGGATGGGCTGAGCGCAGCTGGTCTCGCTGTGTTTACATCTCCGCGCGAGTCACCTCTGCCGAGAAGCGGACAGAAACTGACCCGCCTTATCCCGCGGGGAGGCCAGGGCGGGGGTCCGGCTCCGGAGGAAGCGCGTCCTGGGAGGGTCTGCTAGGGCGGGAGGCTGCGGCCGGCGCCGGGGCAGGGCAGCGAGCTCGGGGCGGGACCTGGGAGGCTCCGGCCGCCCCGGGTGGCGTGGAGGGCTGGACACCAGTTTCCTTCCCCGTCGGGCCTTATCGCCGCCTCTTACCTTTCCTTCTTTCCGCGGCTAGCTTGCATGGCAGGTTGTACTCGGTTATCCTTTTATTCTCGCTTTCCACGCCGGCCCCCTACTGCCACTTCCCCCAGTTCCCCCGGGGGTAGGGAGGCTTGGCTGTGATAGGAATCTGTTTTTTAAACAAAACAAAAACGGGCTCTGTAACGCGCGTCCAGTGACCGCCTTCTGGATCCTCTCTTGGAGAAGCTGTCCCCTTGGGACCGTGCTACTGGATGTTTTGGGGGCGCGGGAAAGGAACGGTGAGGGCTCTGCTAGGGCTGGTGCTGACTGCCGGAGCAGCTTTGCGAGCAGAGTAGCCGTACCCCCACCCCCGACGCCCCCGCTCCAGTTGGGCATTTTAATTCCATGTCACTAAAGGACAGAGAAAATATTCCACAAGGCCAAGAGTAATCCAGATTGCACTGTTTCTAATGTTTCTTATGTGCCAGCATCCTGGGCTCTCTTTCTAGGACCTAGATTCGCTGCAGAACAGCCTTTCTTTAAGTTATTCGTACTAGTTTAAATGAGTGAGGGGGGAACACTTCATTCAAAAACTGTAAAATTTCCCCCCTTCGTGAACATTTACTTCAGTTGTGTGGTTTAAATTTTAATTCGGTGATGATATAACAGTAATCTTGTGTTTGATAATCAGATTTGCTTTTCTTTTTACCTATGAGTCACTATAGAGAGGTAAATTATGCGCTTTCCCTAGTGCCATAAATCACAGAATAGTGCCAGAATCACGGAAGAACGTATACTTTACTAAGGTAGGATTGGGTAGTTGCGTTTCGGAGTTTTTTTTTTTCTTTCTTTAAAAGGTAAAAATGACTTTATATAAGCCTGGAAATTATTGAATTACATTTAAGGAATTCAGGAATAATGAAAGTTTATATGTAGTGCAATACAGTTTATGCAGTGCGTTCATATGAATATAAGGGAGCTAGCTCCTCATAAACACATGAAGTAGAAAACTGAAATATCTTGGGCATTTGAAATTTGAATATTTAATAACAACCTATTTTTTAAGGTTAGTGACTTAACGAGTTACTCAATCATTGCTTGTAATTTCAGATATATATACTCATATACAAAATTATGAGAGTATAATTGGAAGATACTTATAACTTTGAGATTTTTCTGTCCTAAATAATAGATTGGTAACTTTGGATGTGGTAGGCCTACCAGTGTTGATGGCTTTGTACACCCAGGTTTTGTTTTGTTTTGTTTTTGTAACAGTTTTATTGAGATATAATTCATATACCATTCAATTCACCAATTTAAAGTGCACATTTTAGTGGTTTTTAATATATTCACAGAGTTGTGCAACTATCACCATAATCAATTTTAGGACATTTTCATCATTCCGAAAAAGAATCCTGTATCCATTAGTGGTTACTCTCCTTTTCCCCCCAAGATCCCCAGCTCTAGGCAACCACTGATCTTTCTGTCTCTATGGATTTACCTATTTTGGACATTTTTTTATGAGAGGAATCATACAGGAGTGCCTGGGTGGCTCAGTTGGTTGAGCATCCAACTCTGGATTTTGGCTTAGATCATGATCTTCGGGTCCTGAGATTGAGCTGGGGGTGGAGCCTGGTTAGGATTCTCTCCCCCCACCCTCCTTGCTTGAGCAGGCACTTGCTCTCTCTTAAAAAAAAAAAAAAAAAAAGTAGAATCATACAATATGTTATTTTTCATGACTGGTTTCTTTTACTTAGCACAATGTTTTCAAAGTTCATGTTGTAGCCTATGTCATTATTTTTATTGCTGAGTAATATTCTATTGTATGGATATATCACATTATTTGTTAGTAAGTGGACATTTGAGTTTCCACTTTTTAGCTATTATGAACAGTGCTGCTGTGAACATTTTTGTACACATTTTTTTGTGGATGTGTTTTCATTTCTCTTGGGTATGTACAGAGCATAGAAAATTAATATGCATAAGCCTGTTGCGTTTCTATACATTAATAATGAACTACCCGAAAGAGGTTAAGAAAACAATCCCACTCACAATTGCATCAAAAAAAAAAAAAAATAGGAGTAGATTTAACCAAGGAGTTAAAAGGCCTTACTCTGAAAACTATAAGACATTGATGAAAGAGATTGAAGATGATACAAATAAATGGAAAGATAAACCATACTCATGGATTAGAAAAATTAATGTTAAAATGTTCATATTATCTGAAGCAGTCTACAGATTCATTGCAATCCCTATTAAAATTCCAGTGGCATTTTTCACAGAAGTAGAACAAGTAATCCTAAAATTTGTATAGAATTTTATTTGTGTACAAAAGAGCCTGTATAGCCAAAGCAATCTTGAGAAAGAAGAACGAAGCTGAAGATATCAGGCTCCCTGATTTCAAACTATGCTACAAAGCTGTAGTAGTCGTCAAAGCGGTATGGTACTGGCTCAAAAACAGACACAGATCAATAGAACAGAATAGAGCCCAGAAATAAACCCATTCTTATTAATGTTTGACAAAGGAGGCAAGAAGCTACAACAGGGAAAAGATAGTCTCTTCAATAAATGGTGCTGGGAAAACTGGACAGCTACATGGCAAAAGAGTAAAACTGGACCACTTTTTTAAAAAAAATTTTATTTATTTATTTTTAAAGTAATCTCTGTGCCCAACATAGGGCCTGAAATCATGACCCTGAAATCAAGAGCCAAATACTTCACTGATTGAGCCAGCAGGTACCCCTGGACCACTTTCTTATACCATATACAAATAAAAACTCAAAATGGATTAAAGATTTAAATGTAAAACCAGAAACCATCAAAGTCCTAGAAGCAAACATAGGCAGTAAGCTTTTGGACATTTGTCTGAACAATATTTTTTTGGATCTGTCTTCTCAGGCAAGGGCAGCAAAGCAAAAATAAGTAAGACTACATCAAACTAAAAAGCTTCTGCTCAGTGAAGGAGACCATAAACAAAATGAAAAGGGGACCTGCTGAATGGGAGAAGATATTTGTAAATGATGTAACTGGTAAGGGAGATCAATAATCCAAAATATATGAAGAATTTACAACTCAATATATTAAAATCCAATTAAAAGATGGGCAGAGGACCCAAATAGACATTTCTCCAAAAAGACCCAGCAATTGCACTACTAGGCATTTACCCAAAGGATACAAAAGGATACAAAAATACTGATTTGAAGGGGCACATGCACCCCAGTGTTTATAACAGCATTATCAATAATAGCCAAATTATGGAAAGAGCCCACATGTCCATTGACTGATGAATGGATAAAGAAGAGGTGGTGTGTATATGTACAATAGAATATTACTTATCCATATAAACAATTCAGTTGTTTTTAGTAAACATATAGAATTGTTACACTATCATTACAAGCCAGATATATTTGTTTGTTTGCTTGTTTATTTATCTTTAAAACCATTTACAAACTTTAATTCAGCAAAGGAAGGTCTGTGAGAGGACTGGGGAGACAACATACCCCCTAGACTCCTCCAGAGACGGAAGAGGGAAGCTGGTCGCCCAGGTGGCTAGGGGGAGAGCCCAGGATCTCCTCAGACTGACAGGTCCTGCTGGTGGGCAGGGGCAGAGCTTATCTGCATGAAGTTGCCGGACTCCACACTGGGCCAACAGGAGGCCACCTGTAAGTACTATAGCCTGGGATGGAGAGGCAGAGCTCATCCTCACCATGGGGATAGACAGCAGAGGCTCAAGTCAGATGCACAATACCTGACTCCCGCAGACTGACAGCAGGACTGGTTTAAGCGTATAAGCCACTTTTAGAACATTTCTGTGTCCTCCAAAAAGTACGTCTAGTCTGTTTGCAGTTAACCCTTCCCCCGCCCCCCCCAACCCAGTCCCAGGCAACCACTGATCTGTGTTTTGTCTCTCTGGACTTGCCTTTTCTGGATAGTTTATAGCAATGGAACCATACAATATATGGTTGTCTTAGCTTTTACTTATTTACTTATTCACTTATCTGAGAGAGAGAGTGCGTGCAAGCGGGGTGAGGGGCAGAGAGAGAGAGAATCTCAAGCCTACTCCATGCTGAGTGTGGAGCCCTCTGTGGGATTCAACCTCACGATCCTGAGATCATGACATGAGCTGAAATCGAGAGTTGGTCGCTTAACCAACTAAGCCACCCAGGCACCCTGAATCATACAATATGTAGTCTTTTGCATCAGGCTTTTTTCACTTAGCATCATGTTTTTTGGGGATTTATCCATATTATAGCATGTACCAGTACTTTGTTTCTTTTTATTGCTGAACAGTATTCTATTGTGTGGATATACCACATTTTGTTTATTATTGACCAGTTGATAGGCATTTGGATTGTTTCCAGTTTTGACTGTTGAAAATAATGCGGCTTGAACATTTGAATACAAGTCTTTATGTGAATATAT